ACAGAGACCCATAGACTCGCACAGAGACCCATAGACTCGCACAGAGACCCACAGACTCACACAGAGACCCATCGACTCACACAGAGACCCATCGACTCGCACAGAGACCCATAGACTCACACAGAGACCCACAGACTCACACAGAGACCCATCGACTCACACAGAGACCCATCGACTCACACAGAGACCCACAGACTCACACAGAGACCCATCGACTCACACAGAGACCCATCGACTCACACAGAGACCCATAGACTCGCACAGAGACCCATAGACTCGCACAGAGACCCATAGACTCACACAGAGACCCATAGACTCGCACAGAGACCCATAGACTCGCACAGAGACCCATAGACTCACACAGAGACCCATCGACTCGCACAGAGACCCATAGACTCGCACAGAGACCCACAGACTCACACAGAGACCCATCGACTCACACAGAGACCCATCGACTCGCACAGAGACCCATCGACTCGCACAGAGACCCATAGACTCGCACAGAGACCCATAGACTCACACAGAGACCCACAGACTCACACAGAGACCCATCGACTCACACAGAGACCCATCGACTCACACAGAGACCCATCGACTCGCACAGAGACCCATAGACTCACACAGAGACCCATAACAGCGACACGCTGTGAGCCCTGTTCGCTTTGACTCGACCACACCATCCACCGTCGGTCGACGAGGGTCGATAAACGTTAATGGAACTAATTTGTGAAACATCGCAAGAGCGGCGGCGGCGTTTAAACAACAACGACAACAACAACGCGACACAATGCACACCCCCCCCACACACACACACCCCCACCCACATACCCCCCCACACACCCCCACACCACCCCCCCCACACCCCCCACCCACATACCCCCCCACACCCCCACCCCACACCCCCCACACACCCCCACCCCCAACCCACACCCCCCACACACCCCCACACCACCCCCCCACCCACATACCCCCCCACACCCCCACCCCACACCCCCACACACCCCCACCCCACACCCCCCACACACCCCCACCCCCACACCCCCCCCACACCACACCCCCACCCCACACCCCCCACACCCCCCCACCCCACACCCCCCACACACCCCCCACACACCCCCACCCCACACCCCCCACACACCCCCACCCCACACCCCCCACACACCCCCACCCCACACCCCCCCACACCCCCACCCCACACCCCCCACACACCCCCACCCCACACCCCCCACACACCCCCACCCCACACCCCCACCCCACACCCCCCACACACCCCACACACCCCCACCCCCCACACACCCCCACCCCACACCCCCACCCCACACCCCCCACACACCCCCACCCCACACCCCCCACACACCCCCACCCCACACACCCCCACCCCACACCCCCCACACACCCCCACCCCCACCCCCACCCCACACCCCCCACACACCCCCACCCCACACCCCCCACCCCACACCCCCCACACACCCCCCACACACCCCCACCCCACACCCCCCACACACCCCCACCCCCACACCCCCCACACACCCCCACCCCACACATCCCCACCCCCACCCCACACACCCCCCACACCCCCCACACACCCCCACCCCACACCCCCCACACACCCCCACCCCACACACCCCCCACACCCCCACCCCCACCCCACACCCCCCACACACCCCCACCCCACACCCCCCACACACCCCCACCCCCCACACACCCCCACCCCACACCCCCCACCCCCCACACACCCCCACCCCACACCCCCCACCCCCACACCCCCACACACCCCCCACCCCCCACACCCCCACCCCACACCCCCCACACCCCCCACACACCCCCACCCCACACCCCCCACACACCCCCACCCCACACCCCCCACACACCCCCACCCCACACACCCCCCACACCCCCCACACACCCCCACCCCACACCCCCCACACACCCCCACCCCACACCCCCCACACCCCCCCCACACCCCCACCCCACACACCCCCACCCCACACCCCCACCCCACACCCCCCACACCCCCCTCGCAATAGTGAAACTTCGGCCCTCCCTCCCCGCAAGCGTCGAGTTTATTGGCCATCCCACGTGTGCGCCTGATCGCTGCACAAAGGCAGCAAATCCATTGTCGTGTCCATCATCACAGTGGCCGGTACGACTGTGATGGTGGTGATGGTGATGATGGTGACGATGTAATAGCGCAGCTGTCAACCCACGCGGTTTCACGCCGCATTGTTGCACAGGCGAATTGCGTGTCCAGGTCCGTCCGGCGTACAGACGTTGCAATACGGGCACCAAATGTGTAATTCCATGTGTTTGTGTTTGTCCCTTGTGATGGGACTTTGTGTGATGAAGGTTGAGATTAATAAGGGCGCGGCGGTGACCGATGAGGTCTTAATTTGTCTGTAATAAGTTAAGCACTGATAACGGCTACGCGATAATGTACACACATCTGGCTGTCGCCTGATGAAGCTAGTCGTAATTACTGGCGAAACGTCGGACTCAGATTGTAAATGTCGTGGCTTGGCTCTCCAACACACCGGTTGGTGCTGTACTCGTATGCTACACTACACTATACACTACACAACTATACACGCCACTATACACTACACTACTATACACCACACTATACAGTACACTACTATACACTACACAACTGTACACTACACTATGCACTACACTACTATACACTACACATTACACGATACACTACACAACTACACTATACACTACTATACACTACACTATTATACACTACACTATACACTACACTATACACTACACTACTATACACTACACTACTACACACTACACTATACACTACACAACTATACACGACACTAGTATACAATACACTACTACACTATACACTACACTACTACACTATACACTACACCTTACACTAGTGCTGTACTAGTGACGAATTGGCCACGTTCTGTTTACGTGACAAATCCCTTACTAGTTGGCTGTGTCGGGTGGTGGCGGGTTTAACGACACATTTATTTACTTACGCGATCTAACCCTCCAAAAAAAAGTGTATTATGTACACACACATATATATTAGGGGCCGTACATAAATGACGTCACGCACCTGGGGGGGGGGGGGGTCAGACATTTGTGATGATGTGTGACGATGGGGGGGGGGGTGAGAAATGTGACGTTACATCAAAATGCGCAACTTTAAATAAATATAGACAACACGTTCTACTTAATTAAATTAACTTTTGTATAAATGTTTCTCCTACAACATCAGAGTGCAGCGCCACATTAAATACGCACTACAATGACAATAGTTTAAAGCGATTTGAAGCATTTTTTATTTGGGGGGCACTCCCTTTAAGAGTGTACTCCTAATCTCAGCTCGTTACCTGTATAAAAGACACCTGGGAACCAGAAATCTTTCTGATTGAGAGGGGGTCAAATACTTATTTCCCTCATTAAAATGCAAATCAATTTATAACATTTTTGACATGCGTTTTTCTGGATTTTGTTGTTGTTATTCTGTCTCTCACTGTTCAAATAAACCTACCATTAAAATTATAGACTGATAATTTCTTCGTCAGTGGGCAAACGTACAAAATCAGCAGGGGATCAAATACTTTTTAAATCCTTTATATTAAGTTCACTTGCTTGCGCGCTTACGACCGTGCACATCTTTCGGTCGTTTTTTAACCCACTTGCCGTGATCCAATCGAGCTGACATTTTGCACACAGACTCGTTGTGCCAGACAATTAATGTTCGTGAAATTTTACACTTTTTAGGTAATTTTTTTTTATATTTAATTACCAATTGCTTAATGTTGGCAGACAATCATCTGACCCATAGGTGGCAGCCATCTCAAGCCAGAGGACGAGAGGACTCTAGCCGCCCGTTTCAAAGACCAATGTGGGCTGGGTTGTGGCCCATTGAACACGCATATAAAGGATTTATAGTGAAAAACTTTGTTTTTACGGGTTAATTTTTTTCCCTCACTGTATAAGGGCAATGTAATATAATGTAATGTACACACATAAAACACATTCCTGCGGAGGGAGCTGGTAGGAACGTCGGGTTGCTCGGTCAACGGCCTGCAGGGTCAACGGCGGCGTGGTGTATTCCGCAAATATGCCCGACTGTGAGGGCGGGCACAAGCCGGCGTGAGTAGGTTAAATGTTGAGTTTTATAAGGGCACCACGGGGTGACCAGCCCCTCCCCACCCAGCCCCACCCGGCCCACCCCCCACCCAGCCCCTCCCCACCCAGCCCCACCCGGCCCACCCAGCCCCTCCCTGCACGACGGACGGACACAATCATCCCCTGTGGGCTGGTGTAACCAGGGGGTTCCTACCAGTACCAGTATAATGTAACAATGTACACACACATATACAGTATAAGGGCAATGTAATAATGTAATAGTGTACACACACACATATATATATAAGGGCTATGTAACAATGTACACACACACATATATAAGGGCTATGTAACGATGTAAGAATGTAACGATGTATTTATTTGTTTAACAACGAGGCGAGGTCCTTACCTTCGCCTCGCGCCAGGCCGCGCCTCGGATTCCTCGCGAATCTCCCGCGCGTTTCAAGCCCCGCCCCTTCCGGCCCCCGTAGCCCCGCCCCGTAGCCCCGCCCCGTAGCCCCGCCCCGTAGCCCCGCCTCGTAGCCCCGCCCACTCCCTAGTCCCGCCCCCGGTCCCTGTAGCCCCGCCCCTCTCCGTAACCCCGCCCATATTCCCTGTAGCCCCGCCCCCAACCCCTGTAGCCCCGCCCCATCCCCTGTAGCCCCGCCCTTCCCCTGTAGCCCCGCCCTTATCCCTTCTCAAGCCCCGCCCCATCCCCTGTAGCCCCGCCCCCACCCCTTGTAGCCCCGCCCTTATCCCTTCTCAAGCCCCGCCCACTCCCTAGTCCCGCCCCCATCCCCTGTAGCCCCGCCCCATCCCCTGTAGCCCCGCCCCATCCCCTGTAGCCCCGCCCACTCCCCTGTAGCCCCGCCCCCCTCGCCACCGCCGTTCGCCTCAACAACTCAAAGCGGCTTCAAGAGGCGGCGGCTGCAGCAGCAGGAGCAGCAGAGACGAGAGACTTCGTGCTAAAGCAATCGGCCTCCTCAACAACAACAAAACCACAGCGCACCCCACCGCCCTACATTTGTTTGAACAACTTTACAAAGGTGGTGGCATCCCTAAGTTTAAACTATTTTTTTCAATAACTTTTTTTTAAAAATCGATCCGATTTTATAAATCGCCTCAGCCGCGCCCGTGCGGGAGGCCCCCCTCACGACGAGCACAACAACAACAACAACCACGACAACAACAACAACCACGACAGCGATGGCAGATTCCGACGTGAGCGTCGGCGATGAGCCGGTGGTGGAACTCTTCGTGAAGGTGAGCGGCCTCCCTCCCCCCCCTCTCTCTCTCCCTCGTCCCTCTCTCACTCACTCGTCCCTCTCGCTCACTCGTCCCTCTCGCTCACTCGTCCCTCTCTCTCACTCGTCCCTCTCGCTCACATCCCCTCGGCGCCTTTTCTCCACGCCCAGCCTCGTGTTGAGTCGCTGGCGGCGATGTGTTACGAACTTGGGGTTGTTTGAATGTTTTACTGTTGATAAAACGGCGGGCGGGCGGGCTTAACGTCCATCACCACCACCACAGACACCACCACCACAGTCACCACCACAGACACCACCACCACAGTCACCACCACCACCACAGTCACCACCACCACAGTCACCACCACCACAGTCACCACCACAGTCACCACCACCACAGTCACCACCACCACCACAGTCACCACAGTCACCACCACCACAGTCACCACCACCACCACAGTCACCACCACCACAGTCACCACCACCACAGTCACCACCACCACAGTCACCACCACAGTCACCACCACCACAGTCACCACCACCACCACAGTCACCACAGACACCACCACCACAGTCACCATCACCACCACAGACACCACCACAGTCACCACCACCACAGTCACTACCACCACAGTCACCATCACCACAGTCACCATCACCACCACAGACACCACCACAGTCACCACCACCACAGTCACCACCACCACAGTCACCACCACCACAGTCACCACCACAGTCACCACCACCACAGTCACCACCACCACCACAGTCACCACCACAGCCACCACCACCACAGTCACCACCACAGTCACCACCACCACAGACACCACCACCACTGTCACCACCACCACCACAGTCACCACCACAGTCACCACCACAGACACCACCACCACAGTCACCACCACCAGTCACCACCACCACAGTCACCACCACCAGTCACCACCACCACAGTCACCACCACAGTCACCACCACCACAGTCACCACCACCAGTCACCACCACCACAGTCACCACCAGTCACCACCACCACAGTCACCACCACAGTCACCATCACAGTCACCGCCACCACAGTCACCACCACCACAGTCACCACCACCACAGTCACCACCACCACAGTCACCACCACCACAGTCACCACCACAGTCACCACCACCACAGTCACCACCATCACAGTCACCACCACCACAGTCACCACCACCACAGTCACCACCACCACAGTCACCACCACCACCACAGTCACCACCACATCCATCACCACCACCACAGTCACCACCACAGACTCCACCACCACCGTCACCACCACCACAGTCACCACCACCACCCCTCCTGCTGCTGCTGCCGCTTTGCCGAGGCCTCCCTCGCCCCGTAGCGCGCACACGAAGCTGGGTCCCTCCCCCCTCCTCCTCCTCATTTCTTCAGTGCGCGCCGTAGGTCGAATAGCTGCGGCGTCTCAGTCTCATGGCCGTCGTCTTTAACGAATGGCGATGTGAGAGTGAGTGTGTGAGTGAGTGAGTGTGAGTGTATGAGAGTAAGTGAGAGTATGAGAGTGAGTGTGTGAGTGAGTGTGTGAGAGTGTATGAGTGTATGAGAGTAAGTGAGAGTATGAGAGTGAGTGTGTGAGTGAGTGTATGAGAGTAAGTGAGAGTATGAGAGTGAGTGTGTGAGTGAGTGTGTGAGAGTTAGTGTGTGAGAGTGTGAGAGTGAGTGAGTGAGTGTGTGAGTGAGTAAGTGAGAGTGTGTGAGAGAGTGTGTGTGTCAGTGTGTGTGAGTGAGTGTGTAAGAGTGTGTGTATGAGTGTGTATGTGAGAGTGTGTGTATGTATGTGAGTGTGTGAGTGTTAACGGTCGCCTGTTCAAAGCGTTCCGAGTTGGATCTGCTGAAGCGTTTCGCCGCGCCAAGTTACGTCCGTGTGGCAGTGGCCGCGTGCCGCTTTGTAAGCCTCGATCCGTTTGTGTTTATAGGTTAGATTTTATATAAATAAATATATTATTATTCCTCTCTTCGACCCGGCCGACACCCACATTTGGCCTTTTCGGCGACGTTTCTAACGTTGTGCAAAGCAATTAAAGGTGAACAGTTAGAAACGTGTCGAGACTGCTTTGTGCTTTGTTCACGCGTGTGCCTATTGGTTCTCGATCAATAATCGATCGATCTTAATTGTACGTACCAATATATCGCCCACGATGGAAGTTGGGCAACGGTGGTTGATGGTCGAGAGGAACTTTGTTGATTAAAATGGGAGGGGGGGGGCATCATCCAGCGGTGGATTGAACATGCACAGGCAGACAGCAGCTACTCCTAATCGATATGTGGCCCTCGTTCACTTGAACGACACCAAAGTCCCCATGACTAAAATCAACAGCATCGGCCCCACGAACAACGAGATCGTCAACAACAACAACCACCGCCATTCGCCACCAAGTGGCGGTGACTCACCTGGGCGCTTGTGCCAGGCTAGGTGCACTTTAAGGCCACGTGAAAGTGTCGAACAAGGCTGGCGGTACAGTCTATAGAGTCTCTAGACACAGGGTGCCACGGGGTTTGCCTCGCTCAGATGACTGCCACAGCTGCAACCCCGCCCTGTGCGTGGGCCTTGCCGTGCCAACTCGCGGCGCTTTATCCGCCCGGCGCTTCGCTCGTTGTTGTGAGCAGCGTCGCTCCCCGTACGGACAATGTTGCCAGCCATCGTCAACATTGGCACCATCGTCAGCCGTTACGACCAATGCCGTTTAGCACGCATCAGCATCAACGTGGATTTGTGTGTTGCGTCTGCACACACACAGTCGGAATATCTATTGTGTAGAGAGTGAGGAGTCTCTGGGTCTCTCAGTGAGCCTATGGGTCTGTCCGACTCCGTGGGTCTCTGAGTCTACGTGTCTCTAAGTCTACGTGTCTCTGTAAGTCGACTTGTCTAAGTATATGGGTCTCTTGGGCGCCACGGTGGCTAGGAGATGTTAACTACCTCGCCTGGTATACAGGAGGTCGTGGGTTCTGTCCCAACTCTGACGCCTGCTGCTGTATATTTGGAGTTTGTGGTGTCTCTCTCTCCCCATGGTGAGATGTTAACTACCTCGCCTGGTATACAGGGGGTCGTGGGTTCTATCCCAACTCTGACGCCTGCTGAGTTTGCGGTGGCTCTCTCTCTCGTCGTGGTCGCGTTGATTTTTCTCCGGGTCCTCCGGTTTTCCCCTCCACATTAGAGACACTGTCCCGTGTTAGAATATTTGGCTTCTCGAAAGCAATCCAAGTGATAAGCCAGTTTGCTGAGCTATCACTTGTGGTCAGGTCGCTTTTGAAAAAGATCTATTCAGCTCAAGTGGGCCTTATCTGGTAAAATACAAAAAAAATTGCTTTAAGTGCCTCTGCATCTCTTATGTTAGTCTATGGGTCTGTGTGAGTCTCAGGTCCTCTGTTAGGCTATGGGTCCCAGGGTGTGTGTATGGATCTCTGTGTGAGTCTCAGGGTCTCTGTTAGGTTATGGGTCCCATGGTGTGTGTGTATGGGTCGCTGTGTGAGTCTCAGGGTCTCTGTTAGGTTATGGGTCTCATGGTGTGTATGTATGGGTCGCTGTGTGAGTCTCAGGGTCTCTGTTAGGTTATGGGTCTCATGGTGTGTATGTATGGGTCTCTGTGTGAGTCTCAGGGTCTCTGTTAGGCTATGGGTCTCATGGTGTGTGTGTATGGGTCTCTGTGTGAATCTCAGGGTCTCTGTTAGGCTATGGGTCTCATGGTGTGTGTGTATGGGTCTCTGTGTGAGTCTCAGGGTCTCTGTTAGGCTATGGGTCTCATGGTGTGTGTGTATGGGTCTCTGTGTGAGTCTCGGGGTCTCTGTTAGGCTATGGGTCCCAGGGGGTGTATGGGTCTCGTGTCAGTGTTTTAGTTTCGGGGTGAGTTAACTGCTGTAAGTCAGTGCAGTACAATGTGGATTTATGTAAGTGGCGTATACATGTGACCGCATCTCAAGGCACTGTACACACACACACAATGGGCATGTTTATGTTATAGAGGTAGGTGAGTCTCTGATTCTCTGTGTGAGTCAGTGGGGGAGGAGAGGGAGGCAGTCGGTCATAGGCAGAGGGAGAAGAGGAATGTGTGTGTGTGTTGAACCTCTTTCGCACCGTACATAGCCAGCCGTGCTAATCAGAGGCGGGAAGGAAGTGAGGTCATCAGCGGCACACCCTGCTGCGTCTGCCCTGCCGCTCACGGCACGGTTGGCTCCGTATGGTGCGAAGGAAGTTCGACATACTGTACATACACAAGGAGTCAACAGCACTGATGATAGCTGTGGAAAGTTCCAGACGGGGGTGGGGGGGCAGAGGACAACCTCCCTGAGCCTTCTTCGCTACCCTGTGATGTTAACAAAGCACACGAACTGTTTTCGTCGTCCCATCTTGTAGAACTATATTTAAACTATTTAGTACTTTACCAAGGAAGGCGCACTCATCTCTATAGGCCTTTTTTCAGAAGAGACCTATCACATAATGACAGCTCAATGAGCTGCTTATCATCATCGTCGTGGCAAGCAAATACTCTAAAACACGTGACGTTGGCCCGAAATGTGGAGGGGGGAAATCGAAGGACCCGGAGAAAAATCCACGCGACCACGTGGAGAACACGCAAACTCCAAATATCGAGGCGTGACGATCGGCACCGAGCCGACGAGGTAGTGAACATCTCACCACGTGGTAGTGAACATCTCACCACGTGGTAGTGAACATCTCACCACGAGGTAGTGAACATCTCACCACGAGGTAGTGAACATCTCACCACGAGGTAGTGAACATCTCACCACGAGGTAGTGAACATCTCACCACGTGGTAGTGAACATCTCACCACGAGGTAGTGAACATCTCACCACGTGGTAGTGAACATCTCACCACGTGGTAGTGAACATCTCACCACGAGGTAGTGAACATCTCACCACGTGGTAGTGAACATCTCACCACGAGGTAGTGAACATCTCACCACGAGGTAGTGAACATCTCACCACGAGGTAGTGAACATCTCACCACGAGGTAGTG